AAATAAAACTGAACATGGAAGTTCAATATGACCTAGCTATTCCACTGCTAGAAATATATACCCCAAGGAAGATAGAACTGAGACATAAATGGAGATTTGTACACTGATCTTCATAGTAGCACTATTCACAATAGTGAGAACATGGAAACAGCCCAAATGTCCACCAAAAAACAAATGGATTGAAAAATTGTGGTGCATTTACATGATCACTATGCAGCACTAAGGAACAATGATTTTGAAAAATACCATATAACATGGGAGGATCTAGATAACATTATGCTGGATGAACTAACTCAGTCTCATACAGACAAATACTGCATAGGACCATTACTGTAAAAATAGAAGCATAATTAGTAAGACGTGGGTAAAAGTCCAAATACAGAAGAGGCAGAGGCAGGGGGATTGTGGGTGGGGAGAAAGGGAATTCACAGGGTGGCAGAACTTGGTGCGCAGAAAGAAGGAGACTGAAATAATTAGGATAGGTCTTATCTTGTGAGGACTTGAAAAGACAGGGTGACTGACAGTGGGCACAGATCAATGGCGATTAACTTTATAAGACACAATGTAAAGAAAAGTTCATAAAAAAAAATAAATAAAGAAGATGGAAGGAATACACAGTTACGGTACCAAAAAGAACTTGTTGACACTGAAATATTTCAGGAAGTATCATAGGAACAAGAGCCAATGGTAAGGAAGGAAGAAGTTAAAGCTGCATTGAAGGCATTAGCAAAAAAGTAATGTCCTAGAAATCAATGGAATACCGATTGACATGTTTCCAGTAACAGATGCAGCCCTGCACATGCTCACTAGTCTATGCCAGGAAATTTGGAAGACAAGATACTTGCCTGACTAACTAGAAGAGATTTCTAAATGATCTAACAGGATGTGGAAATTATGTGGAAATATTAATACTAAGTAAAATATTGCTGAAAATCATCTAAAAACACCTAGAAGAGTAGATTGACAAAGAACTGCCACAAGTTCAAGCTGGATTTAGAAAATACTGTAGCAGCATGCATATCTGGTGTCTAATCATGTCTGAAAGCAAAGAAAACCAGAAGAATAGTTTTTTAATGTGTTTTATTTACTATGCAAAGGCATTTGACTGTGCGGATCATTACAAACTATGGCTAACCATTAAGAATAACAAATCCCAGAACACTTGACTGTGCTTAGATCAAGATGCTGATGTGAAAAGAGCAAGGCAACTACAAAGTGTACGAAACAATTGTATCCTTCCCCCATATCTATTCTGTCTGACTCTATGAAGAAGAATGTGGCATCACGATTGGAGGATGACTCATGAACAACCTACACTATGCAGACAAAATCTTGCTGGCTGAAAGTGAGGAAGACTTGAAATACTGCAGAGGGTCAAACACTACAGAATTGCATTTCAACATCAAGAAGACAAAAATCTTCACCTATGGACCAATAGACAACATCATGATAGATGGAGAAATGATTGAAATTGTCAATTATTTCATCTTACTTGGATCCACAGTCAATACCTTTTGGACCAACAGTCAGGAGACCAGGAGTCATATTGTATTAAGCAACTCTGCTGTCTGGGGCCTCTCTAAATTACTGAGGAACAATGATGTCAGTTTGAAGACTAAGGTGTGCCTGATTCAGGCCATAGTCTTTTCAATCACTTGCTATGTGTCTGAGAACTGGACAATGAATAAGAATTACAGAAGAAGAAGTTGTGATGTTGGAGGAGAGCATTGAATAGACTGGGGGGGAAAACAAACAAACAAAAAACATCAGACTTGTCTTGTAAAAAGTGCCACCAGATTGTTCCTTAGAGGCAAAGATGGTGAAGCTTTGTCTCACATATTTTGGGCACGTTGTTAGGAATGGTTATTCCTTACAAAGAGACATCGTGTCAAAAATCATCTGTCTGTAGGAAGATGGATTTTCTTTTGGGTTTTCAATTCTATTCCATTGGTTTATCTGTTACAGCTGCATTAGTACTAAGCTGCTTTGATTACCAAGGCTGCGTGATAGGTTTTGAGATCAGAACGTGTAAGGCTTCCTACTTTGCTTTTCTTCTTCAGTAGAGTTTTATTAGAATGTTCTTGCCAGCCATGTTTATAGACAATATATAAACATTAGCAATACATCTTTCTATTTTAAAATAATAATAATAATAATAATAATAATAATAATTGGTCAATTCCAGGATTAGCAAGTGAGGGGAGAGTGATATATGTGACATCTGAGAAACAACTGGAGCCTCCTTATATAAATCCTCACAATCTCAAGTTACATAAATCCTAGAAAACTGTGCTTCAAGGGAATTAAAAATACCCTGAAAGAATTGTAAGTTTAATTGTTCTGTGATTATTATCTAAGGAGCTTGTTAAGAGTTGAGCTTTAGGAAGAACAAGCAGGTAGAGATATGTGAAACTGGACTCTTGTTTGTCATATATACTCTCTCCTCCTATCCCAGGAGAGCTTCATATCCCTAAACCTAGCCTTATGTATGCAATCTAAATTTAGGAACATCCAACAATATAACAAAAACTATCCACCAGGATCCAGTGTTCCAATCCAAGTAGCTCAGAACTGCCTCAGAAGACGAGCTTTACTGCAGGCAGCATTATGGAAAACTCTAGTTAATCAGAAAGGTCAAACCTAGCAAGACTCATTCTCAAGGGACACTGGGTCCTCCCTTGAGACTGGTGGGAGAAAGGCTTTTAGGAAGTTAGTTTATAAAACTAGCTTTTGAGTCTTCCTCTGCATTTCAACTTCCCTCTTCCCTAGATCTTTGAGGGCCCCGCCTCCCACATCAGTTTCATTTCTGAGTTTGTTTTAGTCTGACTTGACTTCACACAGATTCCGGAAGTGGCAGCTGCCGGGAGGACTAGCAGGAACTATGTGACTACTGTGTGGTGGAGAATTGGAAAAAAGATCAAGGTTTTGTTGGAGGGTTCTGAATACGTGTGTGTGTGTGTGTGTGTGTGTGTGTGTGTG